TTCAGTTCAAACAACATGTAAAAGTGAATTTTGCATCCGATGACCCCTTTAAGCCAGGAGGTTCTGCATAGGTAGCTCTTGAGCTGCTGCTTGACCAGAGGGAGCGACTTGCCTCCGCCGTCTCTTCAAACAGGTTCATGCATGGCTCCGGTTCATCCTGTAGGGCACATCTTGGTGAGTGGCCCATGAGGAACAATGAACACTGTGTCCGGAGCCCAGCCCTCCTGGCCCTTAAGAGCGGGCAACAGTGCTCTTCTTGCTCCATCCTCAAGTCTATAAGTGCCTGTTGTGTTTGGTGGAGACCGGGTACAATTTTAACCATCTCAGCAAGGGGTGAGGACTCCATAGCAATGAACCTATCTCCCCATGTTACAGCTTTGTAGCAAGGTCTAAATCAGGATTCCTCAAAGATTTCCAATGCCCTGCAGTGTTTAGCTCCAGCCTTAATCAAACACACCTGAGCAAGCTCATCGTGGTCTTCAGGATCCCTAGAAAATCACAGGTAAGAAAATTTGATCAAGGTTTGAGGTAATCTATGCAGAGCAGTGGCCCACAGGTCCAGATTTGAGGAACCCTGGTCTAAGTTGTGAGACGGAGAGGTCAGAGGTGATGAAAGAAATTGTACAAGGCACAATGAAATCAGTGTCTCAGCAGATCAGAACACTGAATTGGGCTTGCTCCTTTCTCCCGTTGGGTTATATTATCTTGTTACTAAGACTGGAAACAGCTATTAGTTATCAGAAAATTGACCCATTTTCTCCACACTCATCGCCTTTTATAGACTCCACTCAGCCACACCCCTACTGTCACTCATTGCTTCCCGTTTCTCTTACATCTGATACAGTGCTGTTGATGGCCATTAACACCATCTCTAAGGTGAAGTCCAGATTTAGTATCCATTCACAACCACAATACAACTTTGGGTTTAGCCTGTTCTCAGCCTTGTTTCCTTCTTGCTATCTGTATCCAAAAGAGTGGGTGAATTACGTTCTTTATCAGTAAGTGAGGACAAGCTAATATTGAAAGCCAACTCCTCTTCATGGGTCTCCCTTTGGCCAAATCTGGCCTTTGTACATAAGGTACTTAATCCTGATACGATCGGTCAAGTAATTTATTTGATCCCCTCACCTTGTGCTCAGTCTGAGCACTACACGCCTACACTGAGCCTTTGCGACTCAATTGTTTCTGTTTTGATGAGAAAAATGCTAGTTGACCAGCTTCGAAACAGCATGTGTCACATTGGATAGCAGATACTATTGCATACGCATACTCCAGCCAGAACCATCACTTGTCACCCAGAGCACCCAGAGTGGTCCAGGCAAGAAGAAGTGGTTGGTTCATCTGGATGTATATAGGAAACAAACCCCTTAAAGGTGCCATATCATGAAAATCTGACTTTTCCAGGTTTTAAGTGCTATAATCAGGTCCATGGTGCATCTACTAATCAAGGAAATGTGAAAAAGATTAACCCAGTAACTTTGTTTTGGTAAGCCTTTTAAGCGTCTGAGAAAACGAGCGTGTCTGATTTCGCTCCCTTGGTAACATGGCAAAGGGATCTCATTATAATATTACCGCCCCTTAATCTGTAAATGTAATACACCCACAGCGCCGTCATTGTGTTTTCGCAAGCGACAACGGTGTACCAGCTCTAATGCCATGGTGAAAGTTTGAGCAAAACATGCTAACTGTTCTGTCTTTGGCTGCACAGACGAGAACAGAACACTATTTAGAGTCCCAGCCTCAGAGGAGACGAGAGAGAAGTGGATTTATTGATTTAATCACTGTATATTGCTGCTGCCACACAGATCTAAAATAAACCTGCGATTTATTTCCCAGCAGTTTACCTTCACAGACATAACCGACTGTTTTTGTAACTCATGTATGTTTTTGACGTAAACTTGTGTGTGAATGAGAACTTAGTTTAGTACTCACATGCTGTGACAGCCGCTTTCTGTGCGTGTGCTTCAGATGTGTGCGCTCAGAAAACCCTATATCTGACAAAATGATATAATAAATTATCTGTGGAGAATTTTGAGCTGAAACTTCACAGACACATTCTGGGGACACCAGAGACATATTATATATTGTAAAAGGGGCATAATATGTCTCCTTTAAAGTCAATCATCTGACTTTGTTTATATTTAGTATTGACGATAGCAGAATGGTACCTGCTACGGTAAGACCGTATTGACAGTCATCGTTCGGTCTCATAGACCTACAGTTCAGGAGGTGTTCAGAAACATTTTGGGTTGTGATATCATAAAATGGCGAATGCTGAGCTCATATTAATTTGGTTATGCATAAATAAACTAACATCTTTTGACAAAATCGAGTTCTCATTGCTCAGTCATTTACTGAAGCTGGCAAAAACTGGCGGATTTTGCTAATGATTTAGGCTTATGACAGACATCACACTTTTGTCTCATGTCCATGAAATTCAGTATTTCTCAACTTTATGTATGAGCTGTATTTATGATTTCATCCTTAGGAAGAATGAGCCTCAACATACAGAAGAGCACTGAGAGAATCCAGAAATCACAGTGATACAGATGTCCCATAAAGCTGTGTGAGCTCTGTGGGACATTTCACAAACTCTAATAACTGATAGAAAATAAAATCTATTTTAATAAATGAAGTGCACCTTTAGTTTGCGATGGACTTGAAAATTGGCTGTCTACCTGTAGCCACTATCTAAACTACTTCAGACATTAAATATTTTTTATAAAATAATAATAAACTGTCACAGTATGAGAAATTGGACCAGTGAAATCAAAGTTTAACTGTGATGGGCATTTGATGGACTTGGGGATTGATTTCTGTTGTCATTTCTAATGGACAAGATCAACTGTGAAGCTGTGTAGTTCATTCTACATTTGGAGAAGCCAAAAACATTGGTTAAAATCATTGCTTTTGTTTTTCTTGGAAGGAATTTGATTGAATGTTGCTATTGCGATGAGCCATTTCTTAAAGAAAAGAAAACTTTTAATGACCATCTGCATGGCTTTTTTTCTTTTTCTTTCTTTTAAAAACTGACATGATGACAGACATTCTCTTTTAGATTTTTCACTATGACATGATTATTTAAAAAGGAAAAATTTAAAATAATTTTCAAATAATGTGTGTATTATGATACTGTCAGTGTTATGTTTTTGAATGACAAAATGTATTTGTTTTAAATCTCTGCTCTGGAGCTTTTGTTAGAATATTTGCTTTACAGTGTTGCAAGCTCACTGCAGTTCATAAGCAATACTGTAAACTGTATACATATATATGTTTTCAGGCTTGATGTTTGTCTAACTGGCATTATTTTTGCCTCTCTGTGAATCTATCAGAATAAAAGGTCCATACCAAGGGCTACAACGTTCACTGAATCAAGAAATGTTGTAGGTGAAGCAGTTTACTCTCTGGATATCTTTGTTCATTTTCTTACAAAAATATGACTTTTTTGTATTGTAGAGATTTTCTCAAATGATTATAATTTAAGAAAGACAAAGTGCCATTTTTATTATTTCCTGTTCTGTACTAATCAGACACTACTAAAGCATTTTAGTTTGCCTTATTTTGTCAAAAAAAAAAAAAAAGAGATAAATCAATGAGAAATCAGAAGACTAACAGCAAATCAACTGAAATAAAGCAAGTAATTTCACATTTACTTCACTGGTTAGATGTTACTATGTTTACAACAGTCTTGATGTCATTATTTTATTTATATTTTTTTATTAAGAATAAGGTATTATTAGCATCTTATCTAACAACAGATTTTGCCAAATATGCTTTAGGATTCACCATACAGAATAACCTGTCATCATTATGAATGGTCTCCAGTAAAGATGTTTCTCTCTTCCAACATAGAGCACTTTTCCTGTTGCAAAGGTTAATTGTTATGGCAACAAATTATATCCATGTTCAGTCATAAATAAGTAGAGAGGTGACACTTATTCTGCAAATGCTTCATAAATTTCATTTTCTGTCTGAGAAAAAGGAGTGTAATTATTTCACTTTGTGAGAAATTTTTGAACAGAAATGCAAAAATTATTACAGCCCATATATTTGAATGTCCAGTATTTTTCTTCTGCTATATGCAATTTTGATGGTTTTATATGCAAACTAATTTCTATTTTATCTCTATGTAGATACAAAGTTAAAGCTGTAACTTTTGACCCTCTTGTGGTTGAAGCATAAAACTGCTAGATATTTGCGGTGGAATTAGTTCTGATTAACAGGGTACCTGCCTGCCTGGGATTTCGGTTGTAGGTCACTTGACTTGCATTCATTTAGAAACATCTTGCAATATTATCACATACTGGACCACTGCTAAATCACACATATTGAGGAGTTTGAGATTTGATAACATCATAAACTCCTGTAAATAAGTGTTAAATAAATTACCATACTTTAATTTAAAACATCCATGTGTATTGTACTGTGTTTTTAAACATGTATTAAAACTACAAAAAAAAAAAAACGTCATGCTTTTGGGAAGAGAGATTAAATGGTGCATATATAAGAAAACAAAATGCATGAAGAGCTTGAGAAAAAAACATACGTTGTATTGAGAAAAGTATTTAAACAATCGTAAAAATAGAAAATAGAACTGTTAACAACAAAGCCATTACTCAAGCCAGTAAATAAGATTATTAATGTTCAACTGAGAGTCCAACGGTTAGATTGCATGCAACTCAAAACAAACATTTTCATTGATTTTTTTGTGTTAACTTTCATGTGACACACTTACGAGAAATACAGACTCCAAACACATATTGGAAAAACCTGAATGCCTTTAGGCTTCATGAAAGACAAATATTCCAAAATACATTACGTTCTGTTTTTAAAATGTTAATTATTTAAAGGCTCAAAATAGTATTTCAACTGTATGTTGCAGTTTTTATTGCAAAACATTTGCTATATTCAAAAATGAAATGCTCTCTACAAGTATTTCATATTTCACATGTACACAGTTGAACTGCAGCAGCATCTGTTATTTCTGAAAGTGAATGTATAAGACTGTTGTCGCAGATGAGGGGAGGGCTTGCTGGGTATGTTAAGGGTTTAAGGTCTAATACTGTGTTATCTAGTCTACTATGCTCTAGGTTTCCCTGACATTATAATGCACAGTTTTCTACAAGCAAATTCAGCCTGCAGCAAAGCAGTACTTTGTCTCTGCATTATATGGTAAGTTGGAATATGTTACTTTATGAGCATGAATGTGCAGTGCGTTTTATTGGTTTCCAGTGTTTTAAATAAATGTTCTGTTTTGATTGCTTCACTTTTTAATTGAACTACTAGAATTCAGCTGTGTGATTTTAGTGTTTAGTGGTCTATAGGTAAACTGGTCAATCTGTTATTAATAAACACATTTAAAAAAATCTGTTATTATAAAATACCAACATTTCAGGCAAAAAAAAACAACACATATACAATATATATATATATATATATATATATATATATATATATATATATGTTTATATACAGTATATATAAATGTCATGTATTGTTCCTCAAGGTTTTTATCAGTATGCTGTGGCATTTTTAAAGCCACAATTAAAAATTTAAAAAGTGCCATTGATTTTTACGGAATATTGCACAAATATCCTTTTCAGTCAAAATATTTCACAAAATGGTAGGTTTTCCAAATATGAAGCAATACATATATTGGAGACAATGTATTGAATAGTTGATCAAACACTTTGGTTGTTAAACTCTTCAGAATATGTTTACTGTTAATGTGATGAAAACCAAATAATGTAATACATAATATATTGTTCATATAATAAAAGCAACAATACAGTAAGATAAAACAAAAAATGATCTATGAAAAGTGAAGTTAGTTTTCATAAAAGCTCAGATGCATCAGATGCCACCGGGTTAGATTTTTTTGTTTTAATGCAATTAAATTCAGACATTTTTTCAAGTGAAATCTTTAAGTCTCCCAAAGTATCTAAATACCTTCTGTGCAATGTAAACTATTATAAGGGCCTGAATCTGAATTCTGCAATTTGTTATAAATTACCGTTCATACTGCATTCACAAACAGCATAAATCTGCTTCCAACAGTGCTGTAGTGCTTTGTCGTTCAGAAGACAGGACCGCTGAACAACCGCCTAAAGATCCAGTGGACTGTTCACAGTCTGAATGGTCCTCATGGACACGCTGTGACCCCTGTCTTAAGAAGAGGGTGAGAGTGGGGTTATATTGTCTAGTTGTCTGTCTGCTCATTTACACCTTTATATAGAATGTTTATTAAGAATGTTGATAACAAGCTTCTTTTTTAATCTTTAAATTAAACATTTGTGACCCTGGACCACAAAACCAGTCATAAGGGTCCATTTTTTAAAATTGAAGTTTATGCATCATCTGAAAGCTGAATAAATAAGCTTTCATTGATGTATGGTTTGTTAGGATAGGACAATATTTGGCCGAGATACAACGAAGATTGAAGATCTGGAATCTGAGGGTGCAAAAAAATCAAAATATTGATAAAATCGCCTTTAAAGTTGTCCAAATTAAGTTCTTAGCAATGCATATTACTATTCAAAAATTAAGTTTTGATATATTTACGGTAGGAGGTTTACAAAATATCTTCATGGAACATGATCTTTACTTAATATCCTAATGATTTTGGACATAAAAGAGAAATGTATAATTTTGTCCCATACAATGTATTGTTGGCTATTGCTACAAATATACCCCAGCGACTTAAGACTGCTTTTGTGCTCCAGGGTCACATTTAATCTTTACAGCATAGCACATACATTCAACTTCACATGACTGTGTCTTTATAAACACGGTTTTCTAAATGTGCGAGTTGAGTCTCACACACTTGTTGTGTGTATCTTCAGTACCGCTATGCCACGCTGGTCCAGCCGTCTGAGTTTGGAGGAGATCCGTGTCATGATCAGGGCCGAGAGGAGGACGCCTGCATCGCTGCATCGCGATACTCCTGCCAGAGACCCACTCCTCCATGCCAGGGCTTTCGCTGCACTGTCACAGGTCATCCTCACATCACCATTAGTCCCTGAGCATCTCCAACAAAAATAATTACATTTCTAAATCCCATATATTAACTGTGCATTTTGTTCAAGTATTTGAAAACAAATGTATAAAGGCAAAATGATAACATATCCACCTATTTCCTACGCCCCATGATGCTTTGACCGAATTATGAGAGTAACTTCCGTAAACAATAAGTGAAAGGTTCACTGTAAAAAATGACCGTGAATTTAACGTTAAAAAACTGTAAAAATGCTACAGTAAAAACCTGTTAAATGGTTAATGGTAAATTCCCCTACTATATACGGTGAAAAACTGTATTGGACATTACATGTATTGGACATTAATTTTACGGTAACATACCATTTTTGGAAGTGGAAAAAGACTGTATAATTTACAGTGAATAACCGTAAATTGACATTCCCGGAATTCCCTGCGTCACATTTCAAATTTGATGTTTTTTTGTTGAAATAACTAAGTTTCTTCTTAGTTTTTTCTTATCAGTTTTGTATATTAGGGTTGTGTGTTACACCTAATGTTGTTAAATGAATGTTTATTGCATTATTTCAGTTTCATGTGTGTTACCGTGATGGTGTTTAGTGTTTGTGTGAATGACACTGTGCACCTTCTATATATGTTATTATTTAAAAGCTGCTTGTGATGGACTTTGGTTCATCATGTGACTTTCTCATCACCTCCTGCATTTGGTGGTTATCAGTGTATTACAAAGGTACAAAACAGATTTCAGTACTTCAGTAGGTTGGTATATTAACATTATATCAGTTAATGAAATTACGGTATTTAACTGTAAATTTAGGTTAAAACAGTAAAACCTAAAACGTTGCTACCATATTTTTTCACGCTAAAATTTTTTTACCGTAAATTTTACAGAATTTTTTTTACAGTGTTCGCTGTATGAGGGCAATAAGCATTTTCAAAAACTGGGACAATAAGGTGACATTATTCTAATCACCCTTCAACCATCAAACATTCAAATTGAGTTTAAAAATGTTAAAAGATTAATCTATTGTTTTCAACATACCACGAATAACAGGAATTATTTCTCCCACAACTGAAAATAGAATATAAAGGAAATTTACAGCTCATTCAGTCAAATTGAGGGATCAGACTTATTTTTAGAGCTACATTGAACACTGAAAAAAATTATACTTCATTTTTTTTAAGGTAGCTAAGTGGTTGCAGACCATTTATTTTAGCTACATTTAATTAAAACATATGTTGAAAGCTAGTCAACTAAAGTTGTTTATTTAAATGTAGCTAAAATAAATTGATTGCAACCACTTACCTTTAAAAAATGTAGCAAATTCAATGAATATTTTGTTTTTTTCTCAATGAAATTACTTGATTCAATCTTTTTGTGTGGAACTTCCCCAAACCGGAAGAGCATCCCATCATTTAAAACACAGTAGAATCATTTCATTAGATTAATTTCAGTGGATCATTTGATTAGAAATTCAGCCAAAGCATTCAAAGTATTGCTGGAATAGAAGCAATGTAAAGAAAGGACTGTGTGTGGTGTAACAGGTCGCTGTGTGCTGGAGGCTCTGCGCTGTAACGCTGATGATGACTGCGGGGATGGCTCTGATGAACTGGGCTGTAATAAAGTGTACAAAGCCTGTAATCAGCCAACCGAGGAGTATTATGGAATCGAGAATCTTGCCAAAGGGTGCGTGTGTTTAAAACACTCCTGTACTGACATACTAAGGGCCTGCATTTCCTTTAGTCCTGGTAATATCATGTTTGTTTGCTTATGTTTTTACCCTTAGTGCATATAGTAGCTTTGTATGCAGTACTGACCATCTTAAATTGTTATCTATGTAAGTTTTAAAGTACATTATAAATCATGTTTTATCACTTGTCATGCTTTAGAGAATTGCACTTATTTTGATATAACAGCACATGTTAAGTATTGATTATAGTTGTAGAGTTGTTTGATATTGCATTTGAAGTTAACATTTTAAATGTACAAAATGTCAGCTTTACCAATGTGCAACGACAATTATATTTACATAGCATGCAAGTTTTAATAGAAATGACATAAAAGTACATTTTAGTTTACCATTAATGCCTTTCAGTACATTTTAATCATATCAAACACAATAGAAGTAATTTAAGTTATCAAGAGTTCATTGACATCTGATTTTGATTTTCGCAAAATAATATGTGACTTAGTAGTAGATAACCAGATTATATAGATGCCATCATGCATAACAGGTTTTGAGAATGCATGACATTTTCTGCAGCCTAATAAAACATTTGGTCTAGCGTTTGTTCAGTGTGTTTGGCTGATGATTCACACTACGGTACTTTATGCTTTTCCAAAATTGTCTTATTTAAATTTTTCATATTGCAGTTCATGGTAACATATGGATATTTTTTGTTGTTCCTGTACTTGAGCCAAATGCACCCACTGATTCTGTGCTACGGATCAGGTATTTGGAGATAATCTGTTCTTCATTCCCAGATTCAACATTTTGACCAGTAAACTGGAAGCAGTGGTGCTCGATAACCGATACTACGCTGGCGGCTGCTTGCCTCATTTTATCCAAGATGTTCGCTACAGGAAGCCATATAATATACAGCAGTACACCATAGAGGTATGTCGCATGCTTAAAAATGAAAGCTGCAGTGCTTTGGCGCTTTTGATGTGTTTCGAAGCACATATTAAACTGGCCAAGTCATGTGATTTCAGCAAAGGAGGCTTTGTTGCTTCGAACTGTTTTTACATTTTGATGTTTCTCCATTAGAGGTGCTGATCTGATGAACCTTGAACCATCCATCCATTCCATGTCTAAAATCTATTTTTAACTCATCTTAGGTCAGTTTTATAATGTAGGTTCAGTACACGTGTGTATAATGAAATCCGGAGAGTGATGAAATGAAAAAATGGAGAGTTGATCTAATTGAGAGAATTGGTCTAGATAGCCACACCCTACCTAAAGCACATAAAACAAGCACTACGAATCAATTAAAGAACACAAATTATTAGGACGGTCACTATTATTTTGCCAACCAAGAAAATGGCAGATTCATTTGACTGTTAATCAAATTTTTATATATGTATTTATTTATTTTGCTGCATGTTTTAAATTTTAAAAATATAGACCCAAGTGAACAGTGACTTAAAATACATAATATAAATGGGGCAATAATGGGATAATTTGATCAATAATGTAGGTTAGGTAATCTTATTATTGAACAATACTATAAAAATACCTGTTGTAATAGTATGTGCTGTTTAGAGACAAATGTGAATTAAAATGATACATATTATGCACAAGATGTGGGCACGAATTAAGAATTTGTTCCCTCATTTTAGTTAAATAATGGCCATGTTTTACTGATTCTTTCCCTTGTTTTAGTTCAGTTGTGTCCATTATTGAACTCAGTTAAAACAAGAGAACGATTTAGTAGAACATGCCCACAATTTAACTAAAACAAGGGAATGAATTAGTAAACATGGTCACAACTTTTCTTTTAATGGGGGCAAGCTTTGACCTCCTTATTAACATTAGCTCTGATAAAAGGATTCATAATTACCAAAACCTCTTTGAGTAACTTGCATTTTTGCATCTGAGATTATCTTTTATACTGCATCTTATGATACAAGTGTTACCAATGACTCTAGTAACAACTAAAGGCTGATTCAGAACTTTGGCTTCTGTTTTTAAACTATATGTGTGAAATAATTGACTTTGTTGTTCCCAGACAAAAGGCTCTTATGATTTCACACTGGAGGCATATGAATCTTACAATGAATACTTCAAGAGTGAAACAAAGGCAACTTTGTCCAAGACCAGCGTCTCATTTGGAATTGCTATCCCTAATGCTTTTGATTTCAGTTTTAAATATAATGACCACAAGTACAAGAAGTCAGTGAAGAAGATGCGCAACTTTTCAGGGACGGTGAGTAGTTTTTCTGTGACTATAGGTGAAACATAATTTGAACTATTCATTAATTTATTGAGATTGAAAGACTTTAAAATTTTCTGGCTTTGTGCAGAACTCATGTTAGGTGGTTTCACATAAATGGAGTAGATCGAATCCACAAACACCCTCAAAGCCTTACAAGGCAGTTTTGATGATATTTTTTGTTTGATGATTGCGTTATTTTACATATGCATCTGCTTACATATAGTGCATTCAAGTCCTCCTAGGAAGTTTGCATTTACATGTTGGCAAGTCATAATTACGATGTCAGGTGCATTCAAATCACTTAAAGTCAGAGCAATTTGGCGATTTACCTTTTCTCCATAAAATGTAACGATTTTATTTATTAAATGTACATCTAAAATTGATGAATAATGTTCATCAATCGTAATTGCACAATACTATCACATTTTGTAGATATTTGCAACTTAGATTTGTTTTAACTCCAAAATGCTGGGCTTAAAGAAAATTTGCGCTTGTAATTATGACTTTGTGGTGGCGTTCATGTGTGTTCAACTCATAAATGCAATCCATCTGACCTGACGCACATGTTGTTTCTGCTTCTACATTTCATCCTGAGATTCCGTACGCTTTCTGGAGATGTGTAATAGCGCCCCCTACCGTATAACAGCGAACACATGGAAAGTTTGAAAATTCCTAATTAAAAAAAATTTAATTAATAAAAGAAGATGTCCATGGCCAAGTCAGTGTTAAATTCCTGACCAGACTGTGAAGCCAATCATGATTTTATTCTGTGTTGCCCTCAGAAAAAGAAATTTCTCCGAGCTCACTCTGAACTTGAGGTAGCGCGCTATGCTTTAAAGACATCAAGCCTGATGTTACACCCTGAATTCATGTCCCGCTTGCAAGCCCTGCCACTGGAATACACATACGGAGAATATCGACAGCTCTACAGTGACTATGGAACACATTTCATCAGAGAGGCGACTCTCGGTGGAGATTTTGAATATACTATTGTCCTCAATGATGAGACATTAGAGAAAGATGGTAGGTAAAAGCATGTGGTCAAAGCAAGGACAACCATGTTATTCCAAAGGCTGAGCCTATACTGAATGTATTGTCTTTCATTATAGACTACAAGCTTGAAGATATCAAGAAATGTGTACAAGTTGGGCTTAAAGTTGGAGCCCAAATTAAGGGGTTATATGTGGGTGCAGGATTGTCAGCTGGTGGCTGTAAAGGCCTACTGGACGAGCTTGGAGGTAAGCAAAAGTCACAATTCAGAGGCTCAGATCGAAGAACTTATAAGGTGAAGTGTGCAATTGTTTGATGTTAAAATACTTTCTCCAACCTGTGCAGACCTCCAAATGTGCAGAGCGTTTAGAAAACCTGTTTGAAAACAACCATTAATTCTATGACCTGCTTGTGGAGCACATTATCTTCTTAAATGTCACTAATGTTTATTTAAAGTTAGCATATGTGTTCTTGCAGACGTCATTATGTCAAGGCATTCCATTACGCTATTGCAGACCGAGCGATAATGCAAGGCAATATTATTGTAATATTACGCGCTTTGTATTTGAGAGATGAGGTAATCTGACAACATTGCATTCAACCCTCCACCAACGGCGTCTCTCATCATGACGCTGGTTAGCCACTGGATTTCGAGGAGGCGTGGCTTTGGAGAGTGATTTGCAGGGAGGGTGGGATCTTATACTTTCAAAGCTAGCTTGCTCTTAATAGTCTCTCCGAAATCGCCTACCTTACCTTTAAAAATACTGTTTTGTCTGGCTATTCAGATTCCAGTAAAGCGGGGGAAATGGTGGAAGATGTGATTATTGTGGTCAGAGGTGGTGACAGTGAAACAGTCTCACGTCTTGCTGCAAAACAGCTGCCAACTCCAGATATCATGCAGCTGTGGGGCGATGCTGTGTTCTACAATCCAGATTTTATTAGCAAAAAGGTAAACATTTTTACCCAGTTTTTTACTAACAGCTTGCGCCAGCGCAAACCGTCTTTTGGTGTTAAAATTGTAGCTACTGTCAGGATTTACTAAAGATGCGCAGTGAAGAATTAGCACTAAAAAGGCGTGGACAGAGTTATTTTTGCACCTGACTTTATTGAATAGCCTATGCATTTGAAGGAGTTTCCCTTCAGCCGCCAAATTTATGGGAGGAGAGTATTCAAATGAATCACGTAACGCGATTTACTAACTTTTGCGCTCGTCAAATTACTGGTATTTGTGCCATTATTTAATGCCCAAAAAGCATGTCTTAAACCAGGGGTGCCCAAACTCGGTCCTGAAGGGCCAGTGTGCTGCAGAGTTTAGATCCATCCCCAATTAGACACACCTGAACCAGCTGATCAAGCTCTTACTAGGCATACTAGAAACTTGTCCTCAATGATGAGACATTAGAGAAAGATGGTAGGTAAAAGCATGTGGTCAAAGCAAGGACAACCATGTTATTCCAAAGGCTGAGCCTATACTGAATGTATTGTCTTTCATTATAGACTACAAGCTTGAAGATATCAAGAAATGTGTACAAGTTGGGCTTAAAGTTGGAGCCCAAATTAAGGGGTTATATGTGGGTGCAGGATTGTCAGCTGGTGGCTGTAAAGGCCTACTGGACGAGCTTGGAGGTAAGCAAAAGTCACAATTCAGAGGCTCAGATCGAAGAACTTATAAGGTGAAGTGTGCAATTGTTTGATGTTAAAATACTTTCTCCAACCTGTGCAGACCTCCAAATGTGCAGAGCGTTTAGAAAACCTGTTTGAAAACAACCATTAATTCTATGACCTGCTTGTGGAGCACATTATCTTCTTAAATGTCACTAATGTTTATTTAAAGTTAGCATATGTGTTCTTGCAGACGTCATTATGTCAAGGCATTCCATTACGCTATTGCAGACCGAGCGATAATGCAAGGCAATATTATTGTAATATTACGCGCTTTGTATTTGAGAGATGAGGTAATCTGACAACATTGCATTCAACCCTCCACCAACGGCGTCTCTCATCATGACGCTGGTTAGCCACTGGATTTCGAGGAGGCGTGGCTTTGGAGAGTGATTTGCAGGGAGGGTGGGATCTTATACTTTCAAAGCTAGCTTGCTCTTAATAGTCTCTCCGAAATCGCCTACCTTACCTTTAAAAATACTGTTTTGTCTGGCTATTCAGATTCCAGTAAAGCGGGGGAAATGGTGGAAGATGTGATTATTGTGGTCAGAGGTGGTGACAGTGAAACAGTCTCACGTCTTGCTGCAAAACAGCTGCCAACTCCAGATATCATGCAGCTGTGGGGCGATGCTGTGTTCTACAATCCAGATTTTATTAGCAAAAAGGTAAACATTTTTACCCAGTTTTTTACTAACAGCTTGCGCCAGCGCAAACCGTCTTTTGGTGTTAAAATTGTAGCTACTGTCAGGATTTACTAAAGATGCGCAGTGAAGAATTAGCACTAAAAAGGCGTGGACAGAGTTATTTTTGCACCTGACTTTATTGAATAGCCTATGCATTTGAAGGAGTTTCCCTTCAGCCGCCAAATTTATGGGAGGAGAGTATTCAAATGAATCACGTAACGCGATTTACTAACTTTTGCGCTCGTCAAATTACTGGTATTTGTGCCATTATTTAATGCCCAAAAAGCATGTCTTAAACCAGGGGTGCCCAAACTCGGTCCTGAAGGGCCAGTGTGCTGCAGAGTTTAGATCCATCCCCAATTAGACACACCTGAACCAGCTAATCAAGCTCTTACTAGGCATACTAGAAACCTCCACGCAGGTGTGTTGAGGCAGGTTGGAGCTAAACTCTGCAGGACATCGGCCCTCCAGGACCGAGTTTGGGCACCCCTGTCTTAAACTATTTTGTGCTTGAAATGGTTGCAAATGTTGTTGCTAGGAGGAGGCACCAGAGAACAGAGAGGGCGTGGTAGAAGGGAGAGGATTTTTTCCACATGTATTAATTTATTTGAAGTACCAGAAGAATACATTATCCAAACATATGTATTTGTTTGTCAGTTTACATGTAACAAGCTGTGCCTGTGTTGTAAGTAGATCACCCACACCTAATGAGCATCAGCTCTGCTTATTTGCGACTACCCTAATTTGCACTGCGCTTGGTATATTGCGTTGGTCAATATGTAAATGAGATGTTGCGTCTGTGTTCTTTAATTTGCGCATTGTCAGTAAATCACCCACAGAAATTGCATGCCCATGCCCATCGGTGCTGTTTTGGAATTGTGCTCTTGCACTAATTTGCCATGTTTAGTAAATCTGGCCTTAAGTCTGTGGAAAACACTGTGAATAGGTTTTTAAATAAGACTTAAAGGTGGCAATTGGGAGACCATTCCAAAGTTTTGGACATACCACAAAAAAAATCTCCTTTCGATTTACAATTACTACGCGGGACCTTTGAAAGCAGTAGATTGGAAGATCTAAGAGCTCTAGAATCAGAGTAGGGAATAAGAAGATAAGGGGGGAGACCAGATAGCGCTTTGTAAACAAACAGAAGAACTTAGAAGTCGAACCTAAATTTAACAGGAAGCCAATGTAAAGATACCAATACAGGGGTAATGTGGTCCCTCTTTCTTACTTCCAACAAAAACCTCGCTGCTGCATTTTGCACTAACTGCAGGCGGGCTAGCACAGTCTGAGGGAGACCAATATATAAAGAATTACAATAATCTAACCTAGATGAAATAAGAGAATGCAATGCTTAATTTTAGCAATTGATCTCAGATTAAAAAAGCTACCTTGAACAACAGCACATATCTGTTTATTAAAATGTAATGAATGCAAAATTATACATAGACTCTTTACATGATCTTCAAGCTTTTCAGACAGGGAACTTTGCTGTCCAGCAAAGGTAGATGACATGGGAGAACCTACAATAAAAACCTCAGTCTTACTCTCATTTAATTGGAGAAAGGTAGTAGAGAGCCAGAGCTTAATGTTGGTATAGCATTCATGTGCTTTGTCCAAAAAACATGTTTTATCTAGGCCGAGGAAAATAAAACCGAAGATCATTGGCATAATAATGGTAAGAAATACTGTACTTACAAAAAATAGTTCTCAGAGGAAGCATATAGAGAGAAAACAGCAGCGGCCCCAAAATCGACCCCTGTGGAATGCCACATACTAAAGGAGTCAATGTGGAAGAAAAGTCTCATAACTACACAGCAACTGTCCTGTCCTTAAAATATGACTCAATTTATGACACCAACCCAACACTTCAGGCAGTTAAGAAGAATCACATGGTCAATTGTATCAAAAGCAGCGCTTAGATCTAATAAAACTAAAACAACATGTGATCCTGAGTCCAAAAGTAATAATATATCATTTGTAACCTTAAGCTGCGCAGATCCGTTGCTATGGAAGGTCCTAAAGACCGACTGGAACATATCTAAAACACCAAAAGTATTCAAATATGAAAAGAGTTATGAGTAAACCACTTTCTCTAAAATCTTGGAGATAAAAGGCAGTTTAGAAATAGAATCTGTCATATACTGTGTGATCCAAATGAGTTTTTTCAACAAGGAATGAAGAATTGCACGTTTTTAACTGGTTGGTACTACTTCACTCATCAAGGAGCTATTGATTATAGCTGTTAGACTAGAGTTCACTGTAGAAAAGACATATTTAAAAAGATGAGGAAGGAGAAAATCCAACTTGCAACTACCTCCCTTCATTTTAGTGACAAACTCAAATAAATTAAATTTCAGACAGAGATGGCGATGGAGAGGTTCATAGTACACTTTAAATCTGTGTTTGTGGATATAAATGATTTTGATATGTTTCTGGCTTCAGTTGTGCCCCGACACACACTGTGAACGCTCAAATAATCCAGTATTTCAATATGGATTCTGTAACATCATTTCTAAATCATGTCAGTTTTTTTTTTTTCTTCTTTGCCATGTTTGTCCTTCCTATGATTCAGTGAGAATGTAATAACATTTTGGGGCCAATGATTTATGTCCAAACCTTTTTGCAAACACCAACCCTAATTAAACACACCTGGACCAACTAGTCAAGGTCTTCAGACTCACTAGAAACTTCCAGGCAAATATGTTGGAGCTGGTTGGAGCTAAAGTCTGCAGGACCTCCAGAAGCAGGGTTGGACAGCCCTGGTTTAGTAGATTAAATATTACATACGTTAATATTCTTCATTCTCCCAACCACTTGTCCTCTGTAGGGTTGCAGGACCTCTTTTATTGTGTGACTTAATTTTACTTTGTAAAATCCTGTAATGGTACAATTAAGCTGTTTTGTTTTTACAGATAGAGCCACTCCATGAGTTGGTGCCGTCCCGTGACCCAAATGCTAACATCCTGAAGAAAAACCTGAAGAGAGCTCTGTCAGAGTACCTGAAAGAAATCAGCTCCTGTCGCTGCTCGCCCTGTCTCAATAACGGCATGGCAGTGCTCAAAGGTGAGAATAATCAGAAAACACTATCTAAAAAATAATAGTTATTTTTATTTGGAAAATAGTTATTTTCACTGAGAGTTCTAAAATGGTGTTTCTAAACAAGATAAAGTTCTACAAACAAGAGCATTTTAAAGGAAAACATATTAATTAAGAAAAAAATGAAAAAAAATCTCTTACTTTGATAAACGGGGGATATATGGAATAATTTGCTTTTTTCAGGTAGTTTTTAAATATCTAAATATCTCAAGTGTTGGAAGTTACTTTAATCCTTAAGAATTTTTTTTTCTTATTAGGCACAAGGTGTGTTTGTGTTTGCCCAGCTGGTTTCAGAGGAGTGAGCTGTGAGATAACCAAACGAAAAGGTTTGTCAGTGTGGCCTGTTATCTATAAAAGAGGGATGTTTTTGTCCTGTTCCAAATGCTGCACTTGGTGTGGATGCCCATTGAGTTAGAGAGTTTTCCTATATATGTCATTTTATGACTTAGGAGGAATCGGCTCTTTAGAAATGCAGAAAGGATGCTTGTATTAGTATGATGATCTTCTCTTTTATTTAATCATTTGATAAATTAATGCCGTCATGGTCAATGGAAATTATACGGTTTCAGTTTTAAAGTTCTTTATTACATTATATATATATACACTAAGCTAGTTTATAGTACATGGTATTGCATACTATGAATATTGTTGGTTCTTATGAAAAATTGCATGTGATATTCTTCACTCTAAAGTCCCTATGGACAAAAGCTTGTGCTAATATCGTCATGCATTTATTTTTTTTTTGGTATTATCCTAACATTTACAGCATTGGCAGTAGATGGCAGTTGGAGCTGTTGGTCTTCATGGTCCACCTGCACACGAAAGACCCAGAAACGCACCCGTCAGTGTAACAATCCAGTGCCGCAGAACGGTGGAGTAACATGCCCTGGGCCAGAAGAGGAATCAGCTGATTGCTTCTAAAATATCTGCCATTTATCAGTTTCACAAATAACAGTAATAATGTAACAAATAATAGCATTGTTTTGAAATGGATAATGCATACTGACAGATAAGATGGGCATATGCACATAAACGATTTTCTTTAACCAGAGCTGTAATAAATGGAAAAATGTTGAATGCATAGAAAATGCTTTCATTATATTATATGAAAATATGTCCAGGCCAAATTACGCTTCTAAACCAAAAGAGATTATATAAAAAATTATATTTTAAATTATTATTATAATTCATTACTGTAATGTTTCCAGATATTTTGCTTTGGGGGAAAATGTTGATCAAGTGATAGGTATAAAGAGTACCAGCCATACTTAAGTAAAAGTTGAAATACCTTATGCTGATGATACATGAAGATTATAATCAAAGTGCGCACATCCAGCAGGCCAAACGCTCAATGTGGGTGCTCAACCACAAACAATGTCAGACAGGAAGAGCAAAGTTGGCACACCACAGCTCCAAAAGTAGAAAACAATATTTATGTTCTCACCACAGGTGACGTTTCGAGCCTACAAGCTCCTCATCAGACATGATACATGGGGCAACTTTTTGAGCAATTTTGCCAGGCAACTTTTTTGAGCAATGTTGCTTGGCCACTTTCCCACTGAGAATGGGTAACAAATTTCTATCTGGATACTTTAAATCAGTCATAGGCCCTGTGTCTCACCTGGTTGCCTGTTGATGCCAACATTAACCAAAGTTGCCCAGCAATATTGCTCAAAAAGTTGCTACGTGTATCATCAGCCTTACAGTGACAATATAGGCAAAAGATGCACTTGTCCTCAACATCCAACAGAAGACATGCCAGTAAAAAACAAGAAACAGTCAATTAGTGAGTAGCGCAACTGCATGTTTATTTTCTGAAATAGAAAAAAAAGCTGCACACCTTAATACTGCAACCATTCAAATACTTAAAAACATTCAAGTCTCAGTTAAGCTCAAGTTTTCACAAAGGGCATGAGCAAACCAATATCATTTAAAAAGGTCTCCAGGATAATGGATAAATAAAATTATGAAGTAAAATAAATAGTCATAGCCTACTTGCACTGGACGTGCTGGTTCTGGCCTCATCACTGACTGCAGCTATGTGCTTATCTAATACATGAAACGCCTGCAATTCAGCAACTAGCTGCTAAATGCACTCGCATTAATTTAAAGCAGCCTTGTTGGCAAGTTAAGGTATGTAAGGGTGAAACACACAAGTTAACTTCAATATCCCATAGATGCCGATATTTAAGTATAGTATGCTGATATTTAAGTACAGTAACTGCTCCGGGGGTGTGTGTGTGTGTGTGTGTGTGTGTGTGTGTGTGGGTG